GGGGGAGGGGTGGGGAGGATTGGGGAGAATTCTAGCACTTCATCGTCCCACCCTGACACCTCTCACTGGATGCTGCCTGGAAACCCCTGATCAGGTGTCTGTCCTGCACTCACCTCTCCTCTCCTCTGTGTTGCCGTTTTCGCCACATGATGGCCCCAATGAGCAGGGTGACTATTCCCAGGCCTCCCAGGATCCCCAGGGCCAGGGTTAGAGTTCCCAGCCCTGCCCCGCCCACAGAGCCTGTAGGGATGTAGAGAAAATTGAGGGCACAGTGCCAACACAACCACTCCTTGTTGACTATACCCCCGTCACACGTGGCAAGGCCATCTGCTTCTCCCTGGCTTTAATCCAGCCTCTTACCTGCAGCTGGCCCCTCCTGGCCTGTTTCTGGAAGACACAGAGTACATCAGAGGGGAAGATCAGTTTGGGTGAGGGGTGTTGGATGGGAGGCCCAGCAGAGGCTCCCTTCAGTTGAGTGCGGAGAGTGGGCTTTTCTCTTTGGAGGCAGGATTTGGGTGGGGTGGAGGAGCTGACCTGGGTGTTGGTGCACTGAGGGACGGGTAGGCTTGTGCCTGAATGGGGTAGGGAGTCGGAGTCTGTTGTGTCCCTCTCCAGCCCCAGGGTCCTCGGAATTTGGGGGCAGGGTCTCACCTGAGAGGCTGATGCTGACAGTGAGGCTTTCCTGGGGCCCATGGCTGGGATGGGTGGCCACGCAGCTGTAGGTCCCCTCATCCTCAGGTCCAACCTCAGGGAGGAGGAGTACAGGGCTGGAGGGAAGGGGCAGGGGTGTGCCCTGGTAGGGAGAGAGGGACAGGAAAAGATTAAGAAGCCCCATCCATCCACACAGCCCACCCACACTGCTGTCTTCCATCCTGCCGCCTAGCCTGCCTCTCCCTCCGCCCGCCCTCTGTCCTCTTCTGATGCCTGTTACGGTTCTCCCACCCCCCACACTCTCCGGGCTCACATCCTTTATCCAGTGAATCTGAGGAGGGGGCTGGGCCGGAGTTTCACAGGTCAGGGTCACAGTCGCACCAGGCGCTGCCATTCCATCTTCAGGTTCAACCAGCAGCCGGATATCCTTCGGAGGCCCGAGCTCTGGGTAAGGATAGGCGTGAGGTCCATCGTCGCACTTGGAGGTAGCCTGACAGCCCTGGGCTTGGTCCCTGCCTTCCAGAATGCGTTCACCTGACCCTGCGACCCTCCCCACCTCTGTGCTCACCCCTCACACTGAGCTGGATGGGGGCTGTGTTCAAGGCTCGGCGCCGGGGAAGGCCCGGGCGGAAGCTGCAGGAGAAGGTCAGAAGGGCAGCTCCTCCAGCCGGGGTCACTGTCAGCTCTGATTGGAGTGTGAAGAGCCCCGTCTCACGGTGTCTCCTGGTTTCTTCCTTGACAGTTGTTTCTGCAGAGGTGTGTGTGGGGGTGTATGTAGGACAAGGTCGGACACCCAGAGGGCTGTGGGAGAACATCAGGAAGAAGGCAGCTGGGTACAGGGCACCCTGGAACTCACCTTTGCCGTCAGGAATCAAAGGTTTCCCATCCAAGTGCCAGCTAAGGGTCCCTGCAGGGTATCCTCCCTCAGACACACAGGTCCCCACCTGCAGGGAGAGTGGTGGCCTCACCCTCTGAAGATTCGGGAGGCCATGCAGGCAGGCCACCATGCTCAGAGGACCACTCTCAGCTTCCCCATTACCTTATTGGGGATACCAGCTGTGAGTTCAGTGATAGGATCTACAATTTCTGGCTTTCCAGGAGTCTCTAGAGGGAAAATCCAGTCACAAGCTGTTTTTGAAGGTTCTCACACTTCAGGCATGGGAACAGGGTGCTGGTGGGGGGGGGGTCCACACATACCGAGGCTATGGGTCAAGGGCAGGGGGGTGGGGATAAAAGGCTTTTTCTCAGGTGAACAGTGGGCCTTAGTCAAGGTCCCCGGAACCCTTACGGTAGACTCGGACCCTGTAGTTGGACTTTGCCTCCTTCCCATGCCTGTTTATTGCCCGACATCGGAAAGTCCCCTCATCGTGGATTCCGATAGCTGGAAGGAGGAGGGAGCCATTGGGGAGGATTCGAGCCACGCTGTCCCAGGGGGTTCCCTGAGGAGACAGGACCTTCCAAGCTTCGGTCCGGCCTGTGTTCTGGAAACAGGAGAAAGGCCTAAGGAGTGCAAGTCCTCCAGGGCAGCATGGGCCATCACGGGTGGCCAAGACAAGGAGCCCTGCTTACCACTTTCCATTCCAGCTGCTGAGGTGGCTTCCTGGGGGCCCCCTTACAGTTCAGCACCAGTGGCTCTCCAATCCGGGCTGTGATGTTCTGACCACTTACTGTACCTGTTTGACAGCATTGTGGTAGAGGGGCAGGGCAGTGAGGGGCTTTGAAAACGTGTCCAGGTTCTAGGAAACTTCTAGGGAGAAGAGGTTCTTGGGATGACAAGGGAGCAGACTACTTAGGGGAGGGTCAGTGGGGCTGGGGAGCGGCTCACCCCACAGAGCGAGGACCAGCAACCAGGCTCCAGCTCCTGTCCCTGCGGCCATCCTGTGTCCTTCCCAGGCTCTTGGCTGCATCTGCCCCTTTCCTGATGTGGCTGCTGCCTTAGGTGGGACTTGCCCTTCTACCCTGCCCCCAGCTCCCTTCTTGTCCAGTCATGAGAATGCCAGGAATTCATGCCTCTCGGACAAGAGTCCTTCAGGTGCTAGGAGCAGCAATCTCACCCCACCTCCTGGGCACTGCCAGCCTCTCCTGGGATGGGGTGCACACCTCTTAGGGTCTCATTCCCTCTAACCCACCATATTCCTTCAGTCCCACAGAGGGTTGCCTAGAGCTCCATCTTGACTGGGCAGGGTTGCTAGGCAACAGGGTTCAGATTGGTCTGTTGTTATCCAGGGTGTATCTTTGTAGTGAGGACAGGGGTTGATGGGGCTTTGTAAGAAATACACATATATATATTTCCTTCCCTAGGGTTTCTATTGATTTTTGGGGGGGGAGAAAAAAATCTCAACTAAACCCAGGGAAAAAAGAATTTTCTTTATTTAAAACTGTTTTTTTTTTTTTTTTTTCCTTTTCTTTTCTGTGAATCTACAAGTTTACAAGTGAGGAGAGAACTGCCCCAGCCCTGCCTCCCGCCACCCTCACCCATCACACTTCCCCAATTCTGCCTGGGTCTTTGATGGGAGGGGGTCTTGTAAGATCCTGAGGATGTTTGAGGGGGATCAGATAGAAGGGTTCAGGGCTGAGATGGGACAGTTCTCACCTTCTCCGTACCTGGGGCCTCCCTCCTCTCCCCACTGTTTTGATTTTGGCGTGAGATTAAAAACACACAAGAACCCTTATTTCTGGGGAAACTGAGGGCTATACATACAGAAGCCCCCAGCCCCTTTAACATATTTGGCAAGAACCCCTTCCCCATTCTCTCCAGTCTGCAAATAGTTTAAAAAAAAAAGGGGGGGGGTCACATAGGGTAGCATCTTTGACTTCAAAATTACTGAGGCCAGTCCTGCCAAAATGGACAGACAGGAGGCCACCAGGGTGAACCCAGCATGCCTCCACACCAGATACAAAAGAAACTAGCTTGTATAAGCAAAGAGCACCTAAGTGACTCTGGGCAAGGATTTAATGTCCTGCAAAATCCACTTCCCCATGGCAGGCCAGGGGCCTGGTGGTCCTATGCCAGGGGCTTGTTTCCCTTTCTTCCACCATGACCTTCTCACATGGGAAAGCGAAACAAAAAGAAATCAGTATGTTCATTTAAAAAAAAAAAAACCCAAAATACCTATTTCCCCAAACTAAGTTAGAAATTAAGAACCACCACCAACAAAAACAATCAAAAAAATATAGACAGGTCCCAGGGTTTCTTTTCTTTCAAAGAAAAAAAAAAAAAATCAACCCCAAAGCTTAGTCAACAATTTCTTTAAGTAGCAGAAACTCCCTCCGAGGTAGATATCTGAGTCAGACACTCTCGTCCACCGAGCGATTCTATTGGTTTAAGATGAGCTGCGTATGAGGTAATAAAGCCGTCTGGAGGGGCAAGGGGTGGGGATGCATGGGGGGGTGTGGCCCATGTCCTCTGTCCAGGAGTCCTCATTTTTGGCATCTCTGGGTTGGGCAGGGCTGACATCTCCAGATTCCAGAGCGTATAAGTGGGGTGGGGGAAGGTAAAGTGGGGGAACCCAGAGAGACAAACAGAATAGTTGTATGTGGGTATAAGATGAAGAGACAGAAAGAGAGAAGTCTAAGAAATAGGTATCTGTTTTCTGTGTAAGTGGGAAAGAGGGGAAAGACTGAAAAAGGAAAAAAGGGGGGAGACACCCCACTCTCCCTGCCATGTAGTCTGCACCCCAGCACTGAGCGTCTAATTGGGGAGGGTGTGACCCCATTTGCCCTTCATTTTTGTGCTTCTGTTTGGGGTTTGTCCTCTAGATGCCTGCATCCTCTTCAAGAGTTGCATTATGGGAGACCCCCAGGCCTGTGATCCTGAGGGGGCAAGATCAGTTGGAGGTGTCAGAGTGAACACTTCCTGGTCCCTCTGTGGGGGATGTCACTGAGGATGGGGTCACAGCCTCTTGCCAACCGCCGTTGGCCTGGAAAAAGAGAAAAGGACAGTGGAAGTCAGGTCCCGGGATCTCCTGTGCTGCTGAGAACTGAGGGCCGCTGACCGAGGGCCCAGGATCCACTTACCCGCATTTCTCGAGGACTATACATCTGGCCTCCCCCAAGGTTATCCCCGTAGCTCCCTGGCCCCATTGAGTGTCGAAGTGATTCCACCTGCAGGCCGTAGAGAAGGCACAACACAGTGAGATGAAGCCTTAGAAGATGTCTTGTATGTTAAAAGGGGCTGTGGAGGGAATTTGGGAAAGGCCATTCCAGAGTAGATAGGGGGTTCGGGGAGGGCATGGCTCAGAGGGTAAGGGTGCTTGTCACATAGGCCTGGTGACCTGAGTTAGAGGTAACTGATTCCACAGAGCTGTCCTCTGACTTCCACATGTGGCACACACACACATGCACACACACACATACACATACACACACACATACACACACATAGACACACACACATACACACACACACACACACACACACACACACACACAGTAAACAAAAAACAAAGAGGAGATGGGGCTCCTGACCTGGGATGAAGAGTAGGAATCTCCATTGAGCCCAGGCATTCCCAGAAACATGTCTCCGGATCCTGAGAGATTGAAAGAGCCACCAGAGCCTTGGGAGAGACAGAGAGAGATGAGGGAAAAGCCCAGGGGACCTTGTGATGGTAGACAGGCCATAAACACAACTCCTAGCTTCCAGAGAGCTCTCTAAGCTAACTCACCGGGGATATGTGTGGATTACACATCAATTATCCACAAAACAGTCCAACACTCAGAACAGGCAATTTCTTTTTTGTGACAGGGTCTCCCTGTAGCCCCAGCTGTCCTGGAACTCACTACATAGACCAGGATGGCCTCGAACTCACAGAGATCCGCCTGCCTCGGCCTCCTGAGTGCTGGGACTAAGAGTGCACCACCATGCCAGGCTTACAACAGGCTATTCCCAAGTCTCCCCTGGCCTGTGTCCTTGACATCACACCATCTCAGCTTGGCCCCTTTTTACCCCCAAAGTCCTCTCTGCTGTAATCCTGCACAGACAGGAAATGGGAACAAACGCAGGAAAATGCAAAAATAACAAAACAAAACAAAAGAAACACAGCCAGCCAGAATGGCAGTGGGCTCCACCTGCAGAGGAAGGGGGTGTTGGGGAGCTGGTGCGACTGTGGCCCCCCTGGGCGACTGACACTGCCGTCTTCACAGCATAGATATTTGCCTCCTCTTGGAACTTGCCAATGTTTTTCTTATAGCGAATCCGTTTGTTGCCAAACCAGTTGGAAACCTGGGGTTGGGCAGAGAGGGTGGAGTGGAGACCATTCTCCCGGGAGCCCTGTCTGAGGGTGCTCTGCCCCCAAGTCCCCTCTCCATAAGCTGGTGAGTACCTGAGACACAGTGATCCCACATTTCTTGGCCAGTTCCTCTTTAGCCTCCTCACTAGGATAGGGGTTACTCAGGTGGGAGTAAAAATACTCATTTAGGACCTCAGTGGCCTGTTTGCTGAAGTTGCGGCGTTTTCGTCTAGAGAGGTAGAAGGGTGTTGAGGATGTCCTGAGGTTTATCATTGTCACAGAGTGCCCCGCTGGGCAAGCTCAGAGTCTTGGAGAGGAAGGGGAAGGGCATGTAGGCCTGGGTCCCTGAGCCCACCTGGCATCCAGGAAACGAGAGCGCAGGATCATGACTGCCTCACAAGTGCTCTGCTTCAGCTGCATCTGGATGGCACTGAACTTCCGGTGGATGATGCTCACCATGCGCTCCATCTCCTTGGGGGCCACGGGACGCGTGCGGCTCTGTTCTCTCAGCAGGTTCATGACGTGGGTCGTGAACTCGTTGCATGCCTGTAGTTGGGGCAGGTGGGCTGGAATCTTTGGGATTCCCTCCAAAGAGCCTGTCTTGCACCTGCCCCTGCCGCCTCTCCTCACCTGCTCATACTTCTCCAGCTCTGAGTGATAGATGTGGCGGATCTGGGCAAGCTTGCTGCGATAGTCTGAGTGTTCGATGGAGTTGTCGGGGGACACACCACCCCCGGAGGCCGCAGCGGCCGCAGCTGCTGCTGCAGAGCCTCCCCCTTTCTCAGGTCCAGCCACACCTTCTGCTAGAAGCATGTTGTCCAAGCGCATCAGCTGAGGGTCCACCGGCTCCTCCTCTTGAGAGCTTCGAATACTGAGGCCTAGCAGGCAGGCAAGTGGACTCAGGGCCCCAGGGCCCACCCCCTCCCCCAGTGCTCCATCCTCTTGGTGCCTCCTGAAAACCCAAGTTTCCAGATTATCTTCCTCAGGCCCTTTTAGCAACCTCCCTGGGTCCCACTTTCCTCAAAGTTGTCAAACTCTAAGCCCTAGAGTTAACCGAGTTCTATCCCTAGAGATGAAGAATGTGTGTGTGTGTGGGGGGGAGACCCAAGAACCGGTAGGTGAGGAATGGGGGCATGGGACCCACATACCGGTTTTCTCCTTGATCTCACACAGGACACTAAAGAGTGCAGGCTTCATTCGGTGGCAGTTTAGGGCGTGTTTCCTTAGGAGAGTAGGGAGAGAGTTCAGGAGCTAGTGAAAGTTAGGGGGCCCGGAGGGCATGAAGCGGGGCCGGGAACAAGAGGGGGGGGTATAAATCTGCTGAGGGCCGGAATGGAGCTGGAGGGCTGGTTCTTGGGGAAGGAGATCAGATGTCATAGCATGGGGAAGCTGCTGGGCCAGCCACAGGAAGCAGATGCAGCGGGCTATAGGCACCCCGGGTGGGCTGCCGCTCTGGGGGTTTGGTTCAGGCAAAAAGATGGAGAAAGTGGGGCTCAAGACTGAAGAAACAAGAGTGAGTAGGTAGGATTCAGTTTGAGAGAGCAGGGAATTTGCGGGAGCCCTTCTAAAGGAGTTTAGTACAGTGTGTGGAAGGGCTGAGCAGGGGGAACAGGCTGGGAGGACGCCCCCAGGCCTGATCATGGTAGAAGAGGGGTGCTAGGCACTCTGAAGAGGAGTGGGGATACCTTGCATCTGTAGAGAACGTGGGTGGGGGCGCTGCGTGGAGCGTTAGGGGAGAAAGGAGAAAGGGCTGAGAACAGTTTCTAAGTCTCAGGACCGGGGGCCCATCTTGATGTGTTAGGGGTCAGCAAAAGGTTAGGATGAGAGGGAAACCACTTGGGGTTCCCTCTCTAGGATTTCTGGGCCCAGGGGTGCAGGGAGTCAGAGAAGGGAACCCCCCCAGGGCTAGAGTTGGTGGGGGGGGCGGAGAGAGAGTTATGGGCTGTTGGGAGGACCTGGGGGGAGCCTGCAGCAGATTCAGCTGGTGAGCAGGGTCCCGGGGTGGGGGCACTCACTTGGCCTGGGCCTCGTCCAGGCTCTGGTCGGTGATGGTCATTATCTGTTGCAGAATGTCCCCGATGTCTTGCTTCCCTCGGCCTCCCGGGACCCCCCCAGTACCCCCACCGGGGTCTCCGCCACCGGGAGGCTCGCCAGGGCCCCCGGGCTCCCCACCCACCAACCCCAGGCCCCCCCGGCCCCCGCCCGGAGGGGGCGGCCCCAGCAGCCGCTCGTCCATAGCTTGGGGGGGGGCCCTGAGGCCCCCTCCCTGCTCGCCCCTCCCCCCGCCGGGTGACTTCCCCTTCCCCCCTAAACTCGCGGGGGGCCGCTGTTCCCTCCGCCCCAACCCCGCCCGGCTCTCCGCCTCCCGGCTCCCCTCCCCCGGGGGTGCACCCCGGCACTAGGAGGGGGAGACCCGGGGTACCCCCACAGGAGACCCCGGCCCCCGGCGGCGGAGAAAATGGAGCCTGGGGGAGAGGGGGAGAGAGGGAGAGGGAGAGAGAGGGAGAGAGAGAGAGAGAGAGAGAGAGAGCGAGAGAGAGCGAGAGAGAGCGAAATAGAGAGAGGAGGCCCAAGCGGGGGTGTGTGTGCGAGAGGAGGGAGGAGGGAGAAGGGGGAGCGAGGGAGGAGGCTGGGGGAGGGGAGCGGGAGGA